TCCATGACCTTCAACACCTCACAACTAATTTCGACATCTGCAGAAGGTTCTAGAATTCCTCAATGCTCAACTATTGAACATTGTCACCTTTAGTCCTCTTAGTTTTTAATTAATCAAATTAATTCCAATTAATTTCTGATTAATTATTAAATAAATAATATTATTTCTAATTAATATATTATTCTCATAATACATTAAAAAATTATTTATTTTGATTTCTAATTAGTTTATTAATCATATAATAAATTAATAAATCACTATCTTTCTAAAAGCTATCCTATTCAATTGCTAGGTTTGAGGGCAACCCAAAATGGTTGTGCTACTATCAATTTAAGTGTATACCAATTATAGTTATCAGCTTATACACTCAATCTAATAGTAACAATTTATACGTTCAAAAAATCAGAGTGAAAAACATTAAAAACATATAGTGCGGAAATCTCCAGTGGATGTGATGAAATCAAGCCTGGCTCTTCCCCTTGATACAAGAAGTACCTCAAACATTTAAACAAAAAACTATAAGCACAAAGCTTAGTGAGCTCCCCAAGATACCACATACCAATATGTGTCTCATTCAACATACATAACGAGCCTCACCTAACATACTGTAACAACCCAATTTTCAAGGCCAAAAATTTCATTTTTGAATTAACATGTTTTACAAATATTTTTATCAAACATTGTCAATACACATTCATTACAAAACCATAGTGTTGTATTTCCAAATCATAACATCAAAAGTAAAAGAAATCAGAGTACGGTCCCAAAACTTCTTGCGGAAACATGTATGTGTGTGTGTGTGATGCGTTGCTACGCCGCCGGCTCTTTCCCCTTCGACGACGAGGTACTTGAAACCAAAACCAAAACTGTAAGCACAAAGCGTAGTGAGTTCCCCCCCCCCCCCATCATACCATATACCATACAATATCATCGGTGTAGCATTCATCGGTATCTTTCAACCGGTAACCTTCATCGGTATCTTTCAACCGGTAACTATCCTCGGTATCTTTCAACCGATAGCCATCATCGGTATCTTTCAACCGGTAACGATCATCGGTATCTTTCAACCGGTAACTGGGGACTATTTCACCCCCTACTACTAACATGCAATCAACAGATATAAGCATACAGTCAGGCATATCCGGGTACTGACCTACCCTTGGGTCCTATGGACCACCATTAGGGAAACTAATCCCTACTAAACACATAACATATATTCCAGATAAATCACATAACCAGACCAAGATAATTATCACAAAGACCATTATCTTATAAATACCCCTTTTTGGTGGGCCGACATTGTGGCCTTAGATCCACCCCTACTGGAAGGTAACTCACCTCAATGTTGTGCAGTGTCAGAACTATCCTTGGCGCACAAGTCGACTCCCTATGACTCCTCGATCCTTACACGACACCTTCAAGTCAACACACATCGCATACAACCCTAAACAGGGTCGGTCCAAGTTCAGTCAAAGTCAACATCAGTCAAAGTCAACATTTAGTTGACCTAACTTGCCGAGTTAGCCTGCCAACTCGTCGAGTCCATGCTTCACTAAACCCACACAAAACCCCAGCTCCACTCGTCGAGTCCAGCAAAAACTCGACGGGTTCTCCTCCAATCATAACATCGGGACCATCTTCATCCGACTCGCCGAGTTCCTTCTTGAACTCATCGAGTTCATCTCCAACATAAGAACTTGTCCAGTCTATGACTCGTCGAGTTGTATGAACAACTCGTCAAGTTCATCTTCAAAGATTAGGAGATTGACTTGGACTCGTCGAGTCCCATGGCTTCCAGGTCCCTTTTCACGTCTAACCCAAAATGGACTTCCTTCCTAACATTTACCCGTTCACAGAAAAGGGTTTGGTGTACAATGGTCACCGACTCGTCGAGTGCCAAGAACAACTCGCCAAGTCCAGTCTTGACCAACTCCATATAGTTGATTTAAATGAGGTCTAACACATCAAAACTATAGATGTGGCCTCCTAATGTCCATTTTATACGTAAAGTTCCAAAGTTGATGCACATGCATGGGGTTTTTAGCTCAAAAATCCATATAAAGTGTCTCACAATGTGCATAGGGCTCTCATGGCCCTAAAGTTGGCACCTTTATGCCATGAGACCCCTCTTAAGGCCCAGATCTGAAGCTAAAGTCCACATAACACTCCTTAAACCCGAAAATGGCTTGAAAAGCGCTAAATACACCCAAGATCCACATTCTAAAGATGAAAAACCAAATGAAAGACCAAAGTAGGGGCATTTTACCTTGATTAAGCAGGAAATGGAATGATATTTCTGGATCTACAAGCCCCAAGTCGAATACTCAAGCTCTTCTTCTTCCTTCCAAGCTTCACAAGCCAACAAAAGCACCAAAATGGCCTTAACACACACACAAACAGATAGGGTTTCGATATGCAGTTCTAGGAGAGTGTTAGGGACAAGGGAGGCTGAGTTAATGTGTTTATATAGGGTGCAAACCCTTATATTAGGGTTTTTGTCCGGACAGCACAAACTCGTCGAGTCCGATCCCTGACTCGTCGAGTCCTCCACTTAACTCCCGTGTCCAATGCGCTTCTACTCGACGAGTTGGGCCACCAACTCGCCGAGTCCCACGACAAAATACAAAATACTTTAATTACAAATATGTACCAGGAACCAGGTGTTACACTTACGTTACGGGCCTCGCCCAATAATATAATGGATCTCACCCAACGGGCCTCGCGCAACCTTCGTAACGGTTCTCGCCCAATGGGCCTCTCCCAACATACATAACATACATACAAGAGTTACAAAGATAGTCTAGTATCCTACATAGTATAGTGAGAAGACCCACCTCACAATAAAAATAGACTAACAGCACCGCTCGCAAAATGTAAGGCCTAGTATTACACACCACGTAACATTAATCAAAAGGTAAAACCTCAATTTAACATCTAAAACCATCAAGTTAACTAAAAGTCAAATTGGTAAAAAATTCAACGGTCAAAAGTCAACCATGCAGGCTACCATGCCGTGGTTTGGCTCAAACAAAAGCACGATGGATCTGCCCACCACTCCGTGGTCAAAACTTGGCCATGTTACGGTTATGCTGGCAGATCCAAACTCTTATTAAGTTCTTAATTTGTTAAGTCCTCCACTAATACTTTCCAAAAGGATTCATGGCTCCCTAATGGTCCATAAAAATCCTAAATTTATGGACATGCATGTCCAATGCGTGTCCTACACCATATTAGGCCAAAATGGTGAAAAATATGGTCAAAACCCCATGTATAGCACCAAAGAAACTTAAGACTCTAGATCTGAAACATACAGTATTCTTGGGACCTTTGAGAGTCATAAAATTGCAAACTTTATTCCCAAATCTCACTCAAAACTCATCAAATTGACCAACTAGCATAAAATTCTAAGTCTTAAAAAGAAAGAACCACTAAGATCTAGTTTAAGGAGACTTACAATGGTCCAAAGTGCACAAAAGGTTGCGATGAGATTTCTTGCTTCCCAAAGTTCTTATCATTCCTTCAATAGGTGAAACAACCTAACAATGACACAAAATGGTGAGAAATGAACTAGGGTTTGAATGGGGGCTTTTCTGGGGGTGATGGAGGTTGAAGGCAGTCAAAATCCTAGCCCCATATCCTTTATATATGGCCCAAAGCCTGAAACTTAGGGTTTTGTGCACATTACGACATCGCGTCGTGGCCTTTTAATGAGTGCCATGTTGTGGTGACATGACACTACCATGTCGCGGGGAGGCAAAACTCAAAATCCAAGTTTTTAAAACACAAGGAACTTCAAAAGAATAATACATGGGATACAGATGTTACACCTAACATGGTTGTGTGATTGAACATATAACACATGGATGTTATGTGATCGAACATATAACACATAGTTGTGTGATTGAACATACAACTTACTTCCATCTTGGTACTTGTTACTTGTTTGGATAATATACCATATATATGGTAACCAAAAACTAATCAAGAGATGAAGGGAGTATTTTATATACAATCAAACATCTAAACTACAAAAATGGCATTAAACTCAAATCACGAGGGGGTTTATATGAAATATAAAAGGTTTTGATTTACTTAGATTAAATCTCTAACTCTTCCAAGATAAATTTTGGGAAAATTATAAACGTTCTAAACTTTATTTTCTCGAAAGTTCCACCACCCTTTATATAATCTACATTTTCATCCCCTGAACAACCATGAACAACCAATCATTTTGTTTTCTTGAAAGCTCTATCATATCTCTGATTGCTTAATGTTCACCCCCATTAAGGTTATTCCTTTTTGAGAAGTTCAGGTATAACATTCACTAGACAACACGTAAATTCATCGATCTTCCTTAGCATTAGTTTTTTTAGTACTAAAAACATATAAGACATCTTTACGAGCTTATTTGCTAATACCGTTTTGAATTGTTCATTACCATATCATTTGCCTCAATTGTTACTTTAATTTTTCAATGTTTGCCTCAATTTTGTTAAAACCATGTTGAATTTCGTTCGCCAAGGTTGTTGTTTTGATTTTTCTAACGAATTTCAATAATCAAATTGAACATCCGGTGATCATGAGAACTAAGGCTCAAGATTTCATGTTTGATCCCCAAATATTTATTTAACAAATACACATTCCAATTATCCACTTATTATAATTCAATGTACAAAACCATCTTGTGCAAACTATTTTTACACATGAATTTGTGAAATCTTAACTCACTTGAACAAAAAAAACACGTATGTATGATTCTAAAAGTAAAGTATATGACTTATAAATTGCTCTCAATGTAAGACCATAAATAAAGTTCGAAGTAATAAGGCTTCCTTTTGTTTACCCACGTGAAAACCATGAAAACCTTCAATATCAATTTACTTGTGATTTGTTATTCAACATACGCTACTTTGAAACAACTAGTTATTTTTGGGTTGATACTCAACAAGAAAATACATCAAGGGTAAAAAGTGTAAATACCTATAACTTCTTGATTTTTTTTCTTTGAATTTTTATTTATTAATTTTCCATTTCAGTTATATCATCCTAAATATCAGTTACCCTTGATAGTCTTTTCCTTTTTCAGAATCAAAATCACAAATATGAGATTCATATTATTTACTCAAACGATCCCCCTTTTCTTATATGTTTCCCCACAAATAAAATTACATTATTTTGTGATAAAAAATGGAATCGCAACAGATTTTTCTACATTCATATGCAACACTCTCATGATCTCAATTTTTCTCAAGTAAGTTCTTCGAATTTAATCTCTGTAGTTTTCTGCGATTGTTTAATGTTCACATAATGCGATTAATGTGAAAGATTCTATCAGATTTACGCAATTCGCTGTTCAGATTTTGATTATCAGCGCATGATTCACTTATTTGATCTGTTTTTATATGCGAGATTTTTTTAGGGTTTTAATTTTTGTATGGGCAGTGAGAAAATTATGAGAATCGAAGGAAATAAGTTATCTTAAACATCCTACTTTTCAAGATTTCAATGCAAAAATACTATCTATTGTTAAAAATTCAATGAAAAAACATAGAATAATCAAGAGTTTTGGATATTTAAGAGCCGGGTAGAATTCTTGCATGATGGTTAAGGTTTTGTTTCGTGTTTTATTCAACGGAATAAAGTCTTAATCTAGTAAGCTATATCACAGGTATATTTTTTACCCAATGTAGATAGACTTAGCGTATAAAGACTAATAAAGTCATGGAAAGAAAGCTTTTCAGGTTAAGTCCTGCAATTTTACACAATTTACCCAAAGTTAGTTACCCAAATATACTGTTGTTTTCTCAAATATTTTTTATAATTTGTGTGCTTAAAGTTAAATTTTTATATATATAGAAAATGCAAGGTGACTATTTGTAGTTAGTTTGTCATCAAATTAAAAATAAAATAAAATGGAAGGGGACTATTTGTTTCACTTAATTTATATGTTACTAACATAAAACCTTGTTTATTGTTTTGAGTTCATAGAAACACAAAATTTTGTTGTCATTGTCAATGTCATAAACAGCGAAATGTGACATTGACAGTGAAATGTGACACTGACAGTGTGACGTGTCACTGTTAATGTCACGTACAATTATTGTTACTGTCACTGTCACTGTCACTGTCACTGAATAACAGTTGATTTGCTTGTATAAAGATTTTTGCAGAATGAATCAACAAAACATATCAAAGACACCCGATCTCCCTGTAAAACGTAAACGCGGTCGTCCACGTAAGGATGAAAGCATGCCAAGACCACATCCTCAACCACCTCCACTTCTGCCACCGGTAGCTCCGGCACCACCACCACCCACCTTCCCAACCACCATCCAACCACCACCACCACCACCACCAACCACCGTCCTTCCTCCGGTCGACCACACCATGGTCGGACAGGCGGTTACATGCATAATCGATGGCATTTTCGATAACGGGTACCTCCTCTCGACCCGTTTGGGCCCCAATAACTCCATCCTACGTGGCATTGTTTTCCAACAGGGGCATGTGGCCCCCGTGACACAGGAAAATGACGTGGCACCCCACCTCGAGATGTGCACCAGAACTGAATTTCCGATTCCGCCCGCGAATCCTAGAAACCCGGTGCAGTTTTGTGCTCCGGATCAATCCGTATGTGTAAAGCAAGCGGGAGAGACTGCGCAAAATTACCAAAATACCCCTCAACCGGAAAGTCTGAGATTGGTTGAGCAGGATGATGTCATGCAGGTTTTTGAGGTTTCTAAAGCATCGGAAGATGTTCCGAAAGATTGTGAAAACGAGGACGTGGGATGTGATCCAACGGCTGAGACCGAAAAGGAATCCATGATTCCGGGAGACGTCTCTGGAATGGAATCTGAGCAACATGGGAATCAAGATATGGAGAAGAAGGATGAGGTTGAGCTGCGTGTAAAGGAACCAGACGAGCTTATAACTCCTGTAGGGGCAATTACGGAAAATCAACCGTTGTTGGGGAAGGATGAGCTGCAGGAAGAAAGTAAAGAACAAACAGGTATGAAATTCCTTTGTTTCATTTTTATTTATTACAGAAAGACATAATATAGAAAGTAAGAGAAATGATGTTTCTTAAGTTTCTCATCGTATTTTTTTATAAGTTATATTAAGTTGTTATCTCTAATAACTTATCATCTAGAGTAAATTACACGAATGGTCCCTATGGTTTGGGGTAATTTGCACACTTAATCCTTAACTTATTTTTTTTAACTCAGAAGATCCCTATTGTTTGTTTTTGTTACACGATTGATCCCTACAGTTTGTTTTTGTTACGCGCTTGGTCCCTATCTTACCTAAAAAGAATATTATTTAAATATAGAAAAATGATGAGGTAGGTAAGATAAGGTGAGGAGGTGGGGTTTGGGGTGTGTTTATTTAAATAAATTAAAAATCAAGGCCAAAATAGTCTTTTAAAGTAAGATAGGGACCAAGTGCGTAACAAAAACAAATAGTAGAGACCTTCCGAGTTAAAAAATTAAGTTAGGGACCAAACATGTAAATTACCCTAAACCATAGGGACCATTGGTGTAATTTACTCTATCATCTATTTATGTTATAGTAATAAGTTGATAGTATAAAGGTTAATTAATTATTCCATAAAACCTTGTTTTTGCAGTTGAAGTGAACAACAATATTGATGCAACTCAAGCAGTGGCTGTGGATCTTTCTTTAAGCAATTTTTCCGAAATTTAAAGCAATTAATTAGTTAAATGGAATAGGTAAAATCAATTAAGAGCTTTTTTTTTTTTTTTTTTTTTTTCCATCTTATGTTGAGGCAAACTGAGTTAAATACCTTCATTCATTGTTGATACATTTTAGCTTTGATTATATGCATTTGAATCTATCTTGTTAGTTTTGGAACAATTGGTCTTCGATTTATTAAGATTTTTGAGAGGGTTTTCTTATGCGATCTTATTCTTGTGGTGGATTTTAATTGTTGATAATGAATCTGAATCAATGGTGATGAAGAGTTTATTTTATTTTATTTTTTCTGATTGAAAGTGGTGGGGATTTTGAAAAATTAATCTTTGGGTAGTAGTAAAATAGATATGTGGACTGGACTACTGGATAACATAGCAAAATAAGTAAATTTTTGTGACTAGTCAAGAGAATTGATTAAAAAAAACTACAAATTTGTCTTGTGAATTGATCATTTTAACCTTTTGATAGTTTATGTTTGTATTATTTATTTGCAAGGTTGCGGGATTTCAGAATGAAATTATGTTCGTAATAAATAATCATTTGTTATCTATTATTGTTATAAAACAAATAATTTATACATATATATCACTTTATTGAAACATACATCTTTATTCATTCGGTCACTTTACTTATACAAGTGAAGAAAAAAAAAACAGAAGAACCCCTTAATCAACGACTAATTCTTTCATAACAGTAGATATAAAAGGGAAAACGTATGCCAAAAATGACAAAATGCCAATTGTTTCTGGTTGCATAATGTTTTACTATAATTGCGAATTTTAAAAAATAGGATGGTTGTATAAGTTTTGTGCAAGGATAAAACCAAAAAGGTTAATCACTCTAAAATGTTATTTTTGCAAGCGAATGAGCAACATTGATACCAATCAAGATCCGAATCAAGCAATAGCCATGGATCTTTTCCAAGCAATATTTCCGAAATTTAAACAAGTTAATCGAATAGGTAACATCAATTTATAGCTGTTTTTTTCATCTTATGTTGAGGCAAGCTGTCTTAAATACCTATACGATTTAGCTTATGAATTTGATTTTTGAACCTACCTTGTTAGTGTCGGAAATAAATAAATACAATATTCAATAGAAAACGCAATACTTCAATGTAACATATTTAATATGTTGAAGCATGATTGCAACATAATTCATAAGTTATGTTGGTCGCATAAATTGGTAAAAAATAATTAAATATCGTTATATAGAGTGGTAGGAAATGAAGCATTGTTACATAAATACACATTATTTAATCTACATATTTTTGCTTTGGAATGAAACTTGGTTTGCACATTTCGCCAGAAACATAATTTAAGAAAAAGGTAAAACATCATTTCATAATAAGATTAAAAACTAAAAGTAAAACGCTATAATTGGGTAGATTTTTCCCATAACAAAAAGAAAAAAATGAAGTAAGATGCTATGAATATGATACACAATTAAATGATGTTTTACCTTTTTCTTAAGTTATGTTGGTCGCATAAATTGGTAAAAAATAATTAAATATCGTTATATAGAGTGGTAGGAAATGAAGCATTGTTACATAAATACACATTATTTAATCTACATATTTTTGCTTTGGAATGAAACTTGGTTTGCACATTTCGCCAGAAACATAATTTAAGAAAAAGGTAAAACATCATTTCATAATAAGATTAAAAACTAAAAGTAAAACGCTATAATTGGGTAGATTTTTCCCATAACAAAAAGAAAAAAATGAAGTAAGATGCTATGAATATGATACACAATTAAATCAAAGTACATTGCTATATTTCTGACATTACTGAGTCCACCATGGAGGTCCCGCCTGATACAAGTGTTGCTGTCCTTCATCTTCATCCCATGAAATTTGAAAAGCTTGAAGACCAATACTCACACCAGGTTCCTTCCCGTGTTTTGCAGCCCACTCTTCAATGGCGGACTCACTTTCAAATTGTTTTTTTAACTTTGTGGGTCCCACCAGCTCTGCGATTACAGCTGGCATGTACATCGAGTCCCCCACTATCGGTGCACCACATGCTGCTAGTTGAGCTCGAATCTGTAACGTAATACTCCACATGTGAATGTTTTGATGGATTTCAATTTAAATGCAATTCAATTAAACAGATAATAAGTAAGTATCAGAAAAAGGCAAAACAAGTCCCTGAGAAATTATAATAGATTATGTATGTATGTACCTGGTGAGTACGACCAGTCAAAAGGTTGATTTTGCACTCGAATGCAAAGTCTTTATTCGGCCAATTCAAATCCTGAATTCCATTCTCTTCTTCAATGGAAGCATTTGGCCATGGAACTTTCCTGCATTCCAGGACCTCCAATTGGCACAGATTCCATCCCGGAATCAACTCTGCATATTGGAAGAATTTGTAAATGCAAGAAATAGCAATGTACTTTCATTTATTTGTTTATTTATTAGAGTAAATTACACGAATGGTCCCTATGGTTTGGGGTAATTTGTATGTTTGGTCCCTAACTTATTTTTTTAACTCGGAAGGTCCCTACTATTTGTTTTTGTTGCGTGTTTGGTCCTTGTCTTACCTAAAAAGACTATTTCGCCCTTCATTTTTTAATTTATTTAAATAAACACACCCCCAACCCCATTTCCACCTCACCTTACCTTACCTTACCTTACTTACCCCACTTTATTTAAATAAATTAAAAAATCAAGGTCAAAATAGTCTTTTTAGGTAAGACAATGACCAAACACACAACAAAAACAAATAGTAGGGACCTTCCGAGTTAAAAAAATAAGTTAGGGACCAAACATACAAATTAACCCAAACCATAGGGACCATTTGTGTAATTTACTCTATTTATTATACAATCTTACTTTCAATTGTTTTCTTATTAAAATATTCTACTTTGAAAAATCTACCTCATTATATTATAGCATTGTGCTTTCATTTTTATTTTATTTTTTTTCTAATTAGTAACCAACCGTTGAAAAATCTATCCAATTATGACACTGAAAATTGTTTTGTATTTGAATGACGTTGCTATAAACGGACATATATTTCAAATACAATGTTGTAAAAGAAATAAAAAAAAATGCTATAATACATGAATAAATTGAAGTATGTTGTTATTTTTACCTTGGGAAATAATTTTTGGAGCCTTTCGAAATGGTCGCATGTAATGGGTCATGATGCCAGGTGGCACATAAGCAGCAGCAAGTGCAAGATAAAGCTTCTTCACTTTTTTCTCCTGG